TGGGAGTGCACTGACCACCAGCAGGCAGCTCCTGCGTTGAACGTCTGCCTCCTAGTGGTCAGTGCGCATCATAGCGACCGGTCAACTGGTCGTTTGGTCACTTAGGCTTTTATAGATGTGTGTCATCAAATGTTCCCCTTTTAAAAAGGACAATCACATTGGATTAGGGCCCACCCTAATGACCTCAACGTGATCATTTTTAAGGACCTTATTTCCAAATAAGGTCACATTCACAGGTACTGGGGGTTAGGACTTCATCATCTTTTAGGGGGACACCAGGTCACTTATTGAGACCTACTATGTGCTGAAAACCACTGATCGACATCCTGCACAATACAGCAGTGGACAGGACAGGCAACAGCCTCCTCAGTGGGGCAGCCAGGCCCCAGACTGCACATTCCAGGGAAGGGTGTGTGCTCAGAGGAAAACAAGGCAAGGCTAGAGCACAGTGGGGAGGACGTGCCACCCCGCCCCACACCCGCACTGGCCAGATGAGGAGACCGTCCCTGTGTGCGTTCAGTGCCTCCTCGGTCTATTTACTGAGCCTCCACCTGGTTGGCTCGAGGGACATCAAGATGATGGACACATTCCCTGGTCACCGCTTGCCTTTCCACCCTCGTTCCTGTGCACGTGCGCCATCCTCTCCGGGGAACGCCCTCTCCTGCCCTGCCCTGCCCTGCCCCATGTCGCCTGGCCAGCTCCTACTCCCGGGTACAGAGACTTGCAGGTGCTGCCTCCTCTGGGAACCCCTCACCCTGCCTGGCAGACTTGGGCTTCCCCAAGCATCTCCTCCAGGCAGCCCTGCCCACGGGCTGCTTGCTCGTCTCATCCAAAGCCATGAGCTCCGTAGGCAGGGCTGCGTCTCTCCAGCTTCCCAGGGAGGCCTCCACAAGGACTTGCCCGTTGAATGTGTCTCTACCAGAATGTCAGCTCATAGTCCCTCCCCAGTGCCTAGAACAGCCTGGCCAATGACGCAGAGCAGAAGAAACGTTGACCACATGGATGTATGAACCAAGTGAAAAAAAAAACTAAGGCAAGGCCGGGTCCCCAGGGTAGCTCCCTCCTGGCCCAGGGCTCCCGCAGCCAGGAGCCTCTGGCCGCCAGCACTGGCTGTATTTTGCTGGATCCACTGCAAAATGAAGGGCAACAGCAGAGCATTAATCCAGGGGCAGGCCCTGCCTCACTGCGCAGGTGGCTGGCCAGGGAGGCCTGTCCCCAGGACCTCTTAGTGGCATCTCAGGTGGACTGCGCCAGCTTGGAGCAGGCTGAGGGGCTGAGGGAGGGGCTCATGCCACCCCACCCCACCCTCAGCTCCTCTCCTCCAGAAGTAGCTCCCCATCCCTCGTGGGAGGAAGAGAGAGGATCTTTGCTTGGGAAGTGGCTCCGTCTATCCGCATCTGGGCGTCTCCTTGCAGACACACAGGGACACCAGAGGGACAAACAGAGACACGAGAAGACACGCCCTCCCCCTATTCATAGATGTAGGGACAAGTGATCAGCCTGGGAAGCCGCTGGCCTGACAGAGAGACCCGAACAGAGCAAACACCGCAGAAATCAGCGGGGACAGGACAGCCGACTGACAGGCGGAATCGCGCCCACGAACACTGACTTCCAGGCTCACCCGGACCTCAGGGACAGCCCGGGGCGGCGCACGCACCGCAGATC